CAGTGTCATCAACTCCATCGTACTTCATAAGAACAAGTAGCCTTGACCGGTTTCGTCCTTGCTTAAGGGAATCATCAGATGGCTGCTTGTTCATATTGAGTAGCCATAGCCACCGTTAAGTTTTAGTTGAGAGATTTCTTCGTGCTACACTGGACTTTTTTTGTGGGGCTTCCTCTATTTTTTGTGAACTTCTGTCTGAAGAGAAAAGTTCTTTCGACGAGCAAAAAAAATGAGGAATTCTACTTGTCGTCTCGTATTGACTACCTATGTTGTCTTCCACTAAGTTCTAGAAAAGTAGAAATAAAAAAGTACAGTATAAGATCAATTTCGAAGAGAAAAGACGTGATATCCACTTTATAAAACTTCTATTAGTTACGTCGAATATAAACAAAATGTACACTACAACAGAAACACAAAGTAAAATGGTTTGCGATTTGATTGACACTACTTCGTAAACAACTTTCTCCTTGTCAACAGAAAAAGAAAGAGTGAAAGCTTCATCGATTGTGTCAGTAATTGCGCGCATAAATTCGACATTTCTATCACATGGACATAGAGGTGAGAAAAAAAAATTGATTTAAATGGCAAGAGCATTTGTGACAGACTTTGATATTGACGAGTTAAACATTGCCGAGAAAAATTTACAGAATTTTCTTTTCATTCAACTCGACGATGAACCTTCTATCTCTTTGAGAAATTCATCGAAATCTTTCCCATATAACAAAACCAGTGGTTATCGATTAAAATTATTTGTTGGTCTACAAAGAATAGCTCAATATGTTTATCGATTTCATAATGTTCAAGATTGTCTGACATGTCTTCATACAATTGCTAACTATGCAGTCATTCTGATCATATCTCGTAGTGAATCATTGAATGATGAAGTTAAATTGAAATTTCTCAATATGCCACATGTACTTTCTATTTATCAGTTTGGACAGATCAATCCGTGGCAAAAACTGTGGGGAAAAATGAATGAAGATGTCGATTTACACATATCATCGATTAACTCTTCACTGCCTTTCACTACAACATCAATCAAGAAGTTAAACAATCCAAATGAACAGTTTGTCATGAATCAACTATTAAGTAAATTACTATTGTATACTTCAAGAACATCTCGAAGTCAGTCTGATTTGTTTCTGTTTTGCCTGAAAACATTCGGCAATGATTCACGACTAGTAAATGCAATTCACCAATTCGATCGAACTTATGCCTCAGATCAAGCAATATGGTGGTATACAAGAAGTGTCGTCATCTATCGACTTCTCGGCCAAGTTTGTGATTCTGGTGATCCAAACTTGATATTCAGAATTCGCTTTTACCTAGCAGATCTCTTTGAACAAATGAAAATGCTTCATCAACAACAAATGCCAGCCTTTCGAAATATTGACTTTCTTCAAGTCTATCGTGGTAAATTAATACCAATAGAAGAACTCGAATATTTTAAAAAGAACATAGGAAAGCTTCATGTCACTATGCGATTTTTATCTACAGTTACTCATAGAGAAGTTGCTTTAATCTACTATGGTGATGGTCGTATATGGGAAACAGATTATGTTTCGGTTCTTTTCAACATCACAATAAATATGAAAGAGAATATCTCAAAACCGATTGCATTCATTCATGAATATAGTTCAATACTAGATGAGAACGAAGTACTTTTACCTATAGGCATGCTATTTCGTATGAACTCTATTCGACACGTTAAGGTAAGTCTCTTGTAAACGAATCAAATGTTCGCTTCAAACATTCTGTTATCAAGGGAAAACTATGGGAAATAAATTTTGAAGGAAATGTGCAGCAGAAATCTCTGAATAACAACATTCAAATGACAACTGATGAAACAAGTGACTTTCTCAGTATGACCGATCTACTCAACAATATTCATGATACTCAACATGTTTCGAAGTATTTCGAGCTTCAAGAGCCTATTGTTAAATCTTTAGATCAACCAAAATCGAGTCGAATTCCATCCGAAATTCATCATCAAACAAAAGCTATAACCATGACTACAACAAAAGAACAACAACCTGAAAAGCAGAAAAGTAAGTGATCGAAACCATAAACCGAAATGAGTTAGAAAAATTGAAACTCAACTCGATTCGGTTTGAGTTGGATCGAGTCAAGTCGATTTACTAAATCCTTGACTCGATTTCAGTCTATGATTAGAACTATTATTCGGATAAGTTCCATTTTTGACATAGTACTCAATCGTTTCGTTGTACACTACAAGTTTCTTCCAAATACAGCAAATATGAGTTTTCACTTGTTGAGCCTTCTTCTAATCGTATTTGATCTCTTACTTGATAGTTTTGTGCATAAAAAGCTTGTGTCTACGTTTTACTCCTTAAAAGTCAATGCTTTAGGAAAAAACCTCGTAAATATGCAGAGATCCATTTGCTACGTTTTTGTTTATGCTTACTTGTGAAACTCTTATTTTCACATTCGACCAAAAAATTGATGCAACTTTTTATTTTCGTTGTAGAAATTGGATACTGCTGCTGCTGCTGCTATGGTTAATCAGTCAGACACCTAAAGGAATTGAGTGATTCTGTGAAACATCGGATCATCAATGCTCATTTACAATCATCATTTGATCGCATCGTTCTTCTTCTGTCAAACTCAGAGGGTGTGGGTGTGGGTGTGTGCACGTGGATGAAGGTCTTCTCTCTAACTACATCCACACTCACATCCTATTTTAATGTAAACATTTTTATATGGCTTCGCCATAGATAGACTAAAATAAATGTAGAAACATCGGATTGAAACCCAAGTGTTATGTGTACTTCAAAAAGTAAACTGGACAGATGAGTCATTCTAGCATGTGTAGACATCGAAATTATCCTAGCGAGCCCCTTCTATTAAAACTTGATTTGTATTGGTTACTGCTCAACGAATAAGGTTTTAGGGCAGATATAGCTCAGATTTAAACTCTTCGCTTTGAATGACCCTCAGTATGTTGTTTTTCCGAAAACTTGATTTCTATTGGTTACTGCTCAACCAATAGGATTTCGAGGCAAGTAGAGATCAGATTTGAGTTCTCCGACTTAGAAAACCTCAAAGTATCATTTCTGTGATCGGAACATGAAGCTCTACTTTTCGATCAATTGGATCGTGGACTAAAACAGAACCGATTTCCGTTTAAGTAGCTTGGCTCATTCTCAAAAGAGATACAATTTCTTTTTGTGTATAATTAGCATCAAATGACTTTGAAGAGAAACTTGTTCAATGATTTCCTAGTCTAACTACTGATCATTGTCATAGCTATTTAATACTGTCATAGTGACCTAAAGATCTTGTAGCTATTTAAACGTGCCATAGCTATTTAAAGGCTTCCATAGCTATTCAATCATTTGTATAGCTACTTAGTCTTTCACATGGCTTTTTAAACTTATCATAGCTACCTAGAGATCTTCTAGCTATTTAAAGTTGCTATAGCTATTTAATCTTTCACATGGCTATTTAATCTTATCACAGCTATTTAAAGATCCTATAGCTACTTAAAGTTGCTTTAGCTATCTAACGACTTGCACAGCTATTTAATCATTTACATAGCTATTTAATGCTATCATAGCTATCTAAAGATCTTGTAGCTATTTAAAGTTGCTATAGCTATTTAATGATTTGCATAGCTATTTAATCTTTGACTTGGCTATTTAATGCTATCATAGCTATCTAAAGATCTTGCAGCTATTTAAACTTGCTATAACTATTTGAAGATTTGCACAGCTAATTAATGATTTGCATGGCTATTTAATCCTATCGTAGCTATCTAATGATCTTGCAGCTATTTAAACTTGCTATAGCTATTTAAAGATTTGCATAGCTATTTAATGCTATCATAGCTATCTAAAGATCTTGTAGCTATTTAAAGTTGCTATAGCTATCTAATGATTTACATAGCTATTTAATCATTCATTTGGCTATTTAATCCTATCATAGCTTTCTAAAGATTTTGTAGCTATTTAATGATTTGCATAGCAATTTAATTATTCATTTGCCTATTTTATCTTATCATTGCTATCTAAATATCTTGCAACTATTTAAAGTTGCGATAGAAAAGAAAAAAAACCTAAATCATAGTCTGAGATTTCTAACAATAAAAAATACTGACAATTATATGTTTATTCTTATAAGCATCAAAAAGAATACTACGTTATCATCACTAGTAGATATTTTGCTCAAATATTCATCCTACCTTGCTGATTCTTCAGAACAGGGTTTGTTTGGTTGATATGATTATGAATTCGTTTTTTCCTTATTTCATCTTTTTATCATATAATATCTTTTACTTTAATAAAAAAAAGCAAAATAAACCATGAGTAGAGATTTGTTTGGTTGAGTGAGAATGAATTCGTTTTTTTATGTAATCTTTCTATCATTTAATATCTTTTACTTTGAAAAAAAAATAAACTACGATCAGGGGTTTGCGTTTGGTTGATATCAGGATGGATTGTTTTTTTTTTATTTCATCTTTTTATCATCTAATATCTTTTACTTCAAAAAAAATAAAATAAAATAAATCACGAGCAGAGGATTGTTTGGTTGATGTGAAGATGAATTCGTTTTTTTTATTTTATCTTTTTATCATCTAATATCTTTTATTTCGAAAAAAACAAAATAAACCACGAGCAAGGAGGTTGCTTGGTTGATGTGAGGATGAATTCAAAAAAACCAGAACGCAAAACAATGAGCCACGCAGCTATTTAAATAATTCAGTGTCACTGCTATTTTGTTTAAATTGCTAGCTAACTATGAGAAACACAGTATCAAAGCTTTTAAATAGCCAAAGTTTCCTTTAAATAGCAACATTTCATTAAAAAGTATCTCTTTTGAGAATTTTAAATAGCCAAAGCTTTCTTTAAATAGCGAAATGTTTAATTAAAAAGTATCTCTTTTGAGAAGCTACGAAGTAGCTTTGCAATAGATAACTAAACCCTCTTGTTTCTTAATGTTTTATATACCATTTTGTAGCTCGTGCAATTCTCTGTCGAATGGTATATAATAGTTGGGGTTTTTTGTTTGATTAAGAGAGGAAAAGTTTCTTACGAAAACTGACATAGGTCAAATGTTCACATAGAAAAGCATAGGGACTAATGACTCTTTTTGCGATAACTCAGCAATGGCTCGACGAATCATTCTCATCTTCTTTTCTCGATCGAGATATTGATGAGACGAAACTGTCTAGAAAATTTCATCACGATCGGACTCTCTTTTCGAAAGCTATCGTGTAAACGGCCGGCCGGACACACTGACCGATTCTATAGTGTACTCACTTTTTGAGTACACAAAAAGATTTTGAAAATAATTTCAATATCATTTTATGAAATGTGATCACTTGTATGTGGAAATGATGCTTTTTATTCTTAGAAATAGGTAAACAATTGTAAGAATGTGGGTGTGACTATTTCACTTATTGGAGAGTTACTAAGTATCTAAATCTACACCTATACCCTGTAAAGTCGTTGGATTTGTGTCTGATACGCTCAGTTTTCATGAATAAAATCAGGTATTGATTAAATGTAAATAGATAGATTCAATTTACAAAAAAGAATCAATGAAATTTTTCCAAATATCGATTGGCGAACATCGATTCGAATAGCTGGAAAACAACAGAATCACAATTTATCGATCGATCTGAACTTGAATAATGCAGAACTCTGTCGACGTTCATTTGAAACATTTAAAAAAAATATTTAAATAATATTCCTCCAAAAAATTTCAATAAATCATCACTTGATTTCTCCACTAATAATGAAGATTTAATGAACATTGATAATGATTTTTCTGTGCTTTCTTTTCATGTTTTAACTCATCAATTAAATACACAATTGATACATTTTTAATTCTTATGGAAATTTGTTTGATTTCATGCTTAGAACAATGGATTAATCGATCAATGTCATCTCATCGAGAGATTGAATATTGTCAAACGTTATAGTAAAACCTTTTGAAGATTATCAAAAACAAGTATTAATACATTTTTGTTCAAAAAAATTTTTAATAGATCAAATTGGTTATAGTCGATTTATTCTTACATCATTAACAATTACTCGTATTATGCATGAAAAAATCATGTTAAGATCAAAAATTTGAGGGATTAGAATATCATTCAATTGATATTCCTAATATAATCGATCGTTTCGAACATTTAGTTTTACTAAATCGTGATGATATGATTCAAGTTCGTAATCTCTATGGTTATTTTAATAAATTTACAGATCAGTCAAATCCTGATCTTTTATCAAATATTGAAGAAGAAAGTAGTGTTAGTGTTTATTTTTCTCATCATTCAACTAAAATGATTGATTGTCTTTGAAAAATTCAAATTTAAGTTGAACAAGATAAAGAAAAAAAACTACAATTCAAGAAATTACAGGACTTAAAACGTCGTTATCATTGACTTATAAATTCAATAAACGATTATTCTTTTACATGTTATGATTATCTTTATAATAATCCATGTCGTCGATAGAGAATTAAACAACAAGCTAATAATATTGATGTTAGTATTTATGAATGTCCAATATCATCTCAACAAGCAAGTCCTTTAGCTACTATATTTCAATTACTAATTCTAATTGAAATACGATGCTATCGAGATGTTCTTTTGCAATTTATTAATTGTTCTTAATCACAATCTGTCCATCTAATTTATGAATGATTAAGAGATCATTCGCATTCACTAAAATTAGAACCATTTTTTACTGGTCTAAATGATTATGAAGTTAAATTAGTTTCATCAAAAAATTTCATGACACAAAATTATAAAAGTGAACCTTTGATTGTATCAGCATCGAATGATGATTTTCTTTATGAAAATAGTTCACAAGTTGAATTATCACTTGTTCGTCCACCAAGTTTTCATAATGAATGGCGAATGTTAAGGGTGTGCGTGTGAGTGTGGAGTGTGAGTGATGAAAATACTCACACCCACCCCACACCCACACCCACACCCGCACACCCACACCCACACCCACACCCACACCCACACCCACACCCACAC